GTTTTACAGTTTAAATATTAAATTTTTATTTGTTTTATGTATTTAAACTTTAAACTTATGAAACAAATAAAAATTTAATTTTTCTTCTTAACCTATTCAATACTTTTTCTTATGTAAAGTTTAAACTTTATATTATACGTTATATTATACTTATAATATGTATCGATAAAAGGAATAATTTGATTAGCAAAATTTTTTTAATATTCAGATTGTCATGTAATAAATAATAAATATATAACAGAAATTTATTAGTTTTTATTACCAGCATTGTACGTAACATTCTGACAAAAATACCAAAATGTAAAATTGGCCGATTATCGAAACCGATTAATCGGGGAGAATGGCCGATACCGATTAATCGGCTAAGTGGCCGATTACCGATTACTTACCGATTAATCGGTGCATCCTTAAATATAAATATTGGCTCAGCTTCCCCTCCATATAAAAGCAAGTATAAGATTTTCTTCCTCCCTTCTTTTTCCTTTCCAATATTCATATATCTTGATTCTCTTTTAAACTACGGTTAATTTTAGTTAAATGTAAAAAACTGGTTACCTTATCTTTATAAGTTGGTGGAAGAATTACAGTATCATCCACTCTTGGGAGATAAATTAAGAAACCAAGTGTATCTCCTTGACCATAACCACCATCACTGTAGTGATATCCCATGCTTTGATGAAATCTAGTTCCTTTACGAGACCGCCAAGAATAACTAAATCGATCATATCCCAAAGGAGCTTGCAAGTTTCCTAAATCATATGTATTATACATTATAAAATAATTTACACATTACAAAACTTTTTCACATTTATGCATTTATTTAATAACTTGTTTGTGTTTCTATCAAAGTTTTAAATACAGGGTGCTTCAAAAAAATGTATACACACTTTGAACTTCCATAGAATTAGAATCATACTAAATTTATATTACATATAATATTTGAAGTTAAATATTAGGAGAGCATTCAAATATTATGTGAACATAATTTACATTCCTTTCTTTTATTTTTCCCTTTCTCATATAAGTCATATAAGCATTGTGTTAATTCTTTTCTAGATTGGGTAAGATTATGTTCACTCAGTTCCTTTCTGTTTCATATATCCATTGTCCAAAACATTTTCAAGATCACCAAAATCTAAATCAATAGTGCTCTCTTTTATCACTTTTTCAACATATCAGAAAATAATTTTCAAAATTTGAGTAAGAGAACTTTTGATACATTCTGCATAATAGTAGTATTTTTGAGTATTTATTATAAAATAATTTTATAAGAAAAATAAAAACAACTTGAATACATTTAAAAACAGCTCAAAAAATATCTAATATAAATAAGGATGCACCGATAACCAAAATGGCTGATTACCGATTAATCGGTCGATTAGTGTTAATAATTTATTGCATTAATAGTGTGAGATCCTGGAGTTAATTATACAGTTAATTATAATGTAAATAAATCTCAACACTTAATTGTTGACGTGCGGAAACTTCGACATTGTTTAAAAAGCTGAAGTGTTTCTGCGTTTAACAGAAACAAAATATCTCTCTTTAACCACTGATATTTGGACAGCAACTACAAACAATTCTCCTTTTTTAAGTGTAACAGCTCACTGGTTGAAGGATGATTTTCAGCAGGAAAGAGCTGTTTTGCAAATTGTTTCCTTTGAAGGTTCCCACACAGCTACACGAATCAGTGAATAGTTAAAAATTGTTCTTGAACAGTANTTCGAATTTGTCTCGTATGCGTGTAATTGTTAATCTTGAAGGTGGTTCTGTATCATACTCCCTTCTCCACTGTCTTTGAACTTCATTTACATTTTCAAACTTCCAGTACCACTTAATAACCTGCTTACGTTCTTCAAAACTCAAACGTACGTCCCCCATGTTGATATTACAAATTCCAACTGATAATATAACATAGAGGGACGATTATGCTGCCACCTGGCGAAGAAATATAACATTAGCCTTGTAGAGCGGGAAAACTACAATAGTTCAAAGTGTGTATACATTTTTTTGAAGCACCCTGTATAAAGTAAATTAATTACCCAAAGCTTGAGACCATCCTAATCTTGTTGCAGATCCATCTGGCATGTCTTCTATTGTGCATTCAAAGTACCATATACCATTATTTATACCTTAAAAATTCATAAAATATTTCTTAATTATTTAGAAATAATCAAATTCAGTTTTTGCATCATAACAGAATTTTGTTCTTTAATAGAATTGTATAATTTAAATGTCATTTTACAATTTTGTACTAAAGTAAAAATATAATAAATAAATTAATGTAAGCACAATAAATAAAACTAAAATATACAACTTTCTTTTCTCTTTTTTAATATCTTTATCTATTTTACTTGCTTTCCAAACTAATTGTAAGTTTACAGCTAACAGTATAAATTAGTTTCCATATAATACCACACAATTTTTTACATATATGGGAACAAAACATAGTGAAGCTTGATTGTTTTTATTTGAATTTGACTTTTATCAATTGATAATACAAAAATTTCAAATACTACAATTTCTCAAAAAGAGTAGAAAAAGTTGAATTAAACTTGTTGACTTTGACAAAAAGTTGAACTGATTTTCATAAAAATCAAGATATATTCACTCTGCTTAATACAACAGATTAGAGAAGTTAAAATTAAACATGTCGTTAACTGGTAATTTAATTACATTAATATTTAACTACTGTCCATCTCTACAAAGATTTATTGAAAATCAAAACGTTCAGCCAAATCCAAAGAATATTTTTCTGCCTGATGATAATGTAAATAACCAAAATAACTTTTTTAAAATTAATTAATTATTAATTTAAAATAGGCTATATTTAGATATAAATGTGAATATTCTAATAAAATATATTTATTTTTGTCATTACTTCTATACCTTTGAAGTAATTAATTCATAAATATTTGTATAGTTATATAGTGCAATTTATGAAATTCAAATTATTAATAAATAATTGAATGAGAAATTACTAATTCATTAAATAAACAATAGTAACAGCAGGTTATTAAAAATAAAAATGTTAATTTTTTTAAAATATGTATTAACATTACTTATGTTCATATATAATTTCAAAATAATTCATAATAAATTTATATATAAACAATTCCTATTATTATATATAAACAAAATTAGTAACAGAGTAAAAGTGACTGTTTTAAATGAATTTATTATAATTTCAATTTATATATAAATTACCATGAGTAGAACGAATCATGCAATAGCCTTTCTCTCCAGTTACAAATATCCTGTCTTCTCCAATCTTTAATTGTGGAGCTACCAAAAATAACAATTTATAAATAATATGAAACACAAATTTCAATTCTCAAACATTTTCAAAAATATATATATAAAATGCAAATTAAATATCACAATCATAAACAAAACAAACACCATAACAATAGTGACTTTATCAAAAAGAAAAAGTAAAAAATACTGTTACTATAGAAATAAAAAAAACAAGTGTTTTAAGCATTAACAAATACCAATATTATAATAATTTCATTCAAAAAAACTTGAATCTTATCATCATATGCTTCTCCAATTTCTAAATTCCTTAATGATACATATTCTTGTAATTTTTGGGTGGTGATCTGGCCTTGATATGTCAGATTCTGTGCCTCACTATCTGACCACTGTCATTATGGACTTGTCCAAGCCCATAATGGAAATGATTAGAAAGGTCCTCTTATTATCCACAGGGAAAAGGCATTATTTATAAAATTTGTAACTGAACTCTAGACTTCAAACTGATGAAAGAATTTTCCAATCATTGAATCATGCAACTTTATCCCATCCATCCACCAGGATATGATTACAAAGCCAATAATATTAATATTTAAAATATAGTAATGAATTTTTTTCCAATAATTTATTTGTTCTAAAAAAATATTGTATATTGTCTACAAAAAGAATTTATGTATTACTGCAACAAGCAAATAATCTAAAACAAAGAGTGTCCATATATTTTACAAATTCTGTGCTCAATCTTTGTATTTTAGTGTTTTATTTTTCTTTCTTTCTTTTAATAGTCAAGCTAAAATGAGTTACTAAGCTAAAAAATTGCTATAGTGTTTTTGAATGAATATCAATGAAGTAACAAAGGTATAATTTTCATTTAATAGATATTTTAAACAAATCGTGGCATATTTTGGACAACTCTGTGATATCTATAACCAATTTTATTTCATCATATTCTATTAAAACATTATATAACTGCAACTATCATGTAAAATAATGTGGCTTTCTTTTTTAAAATATTCTAAATATGAATGAATCTAATTTATACAATTGGTATTAAAAAGCACATAGACACAATTATGCAAGCAATGAAGTTAATTTTACATATTCTAATATTATTGATAAATTGATGTTTCAAGTGCAACTGAATCACTGGTTCTATTTCATATTATTGCTCTCATAAAAGTTTTAATTTAAACACCATTATAAATGTTATTATAATACCAATAAAAAAATAAGATAATCTAAAGAAACTCATATTTTCCTACACATTTAAATAAATTATTTAATTACTGTATCCAAGTTGTATTTTTTATCTGTTTATTATTATATTTAAACAACATAATTGAAAAATTAATTATATCCAAATAATTCATCAATAAATACCTCTATCATGTAAAGCCCATAATACAAAATTTGGTGTAAGTTTTCTATACAACCAGCCAGGTATTGGTTTTCCAGCCCAATCTGGACTCTCATCAAATTCTTGACGAAAAGGTGCATGAGGATCTGGTTCTGCTAAGATATATCTATATCCATCTTTATTAAATGGATGTTCTAGTGGATAGCCATGAGGTGGTAATTTAGGCATTGTTAAATCACTAGAAAATAATTAACAATATAAATTGATTAAAACTTTATATTCCAAAAAAGTATACTTTATTTAAAAGCTAAACTTTTTTAAATATATTTTATCACAATCGAGATTGTTCTTTTCTTGTTTTCTCCTATTTGAAAAGTGTTTATATTATTTTAAAATAAATTTACCCTAATAAAATTTCTTTATAAAAATAAAAGCTTTTAATAGATTCCATCTGGCATGTCTTCTATTGTGCATTCAAAGTACCATATACCATTATTTATACCTTAAAAATTCATAAAATATTTCTTAATTATTTAGAAATAATCAAATTCAGTTTTTGCATCATAACAGAATTTTGTTCTTTAATAGAATTGTATAATTTAAATGTCATTTTACAATTTTGTACTAAAGTAAAAATATAATAAATAAATTAATGTAAGCACAATAAATAAAACTAAAATATACAACTTTCTTTTCTCTTTTTTAATATCTTTATCTATTTTACTTGCTTTCCAAACTAATTGTAAGTTTACAGCTAACAGTATAAATTAGTTTCCATATAATACCACACAATTTTTTACATATATGGGAACAAAACATAGTGAAGCTTGATTGTTTTTATTTGAATTTGACTTTTATCAATTGATAATACAAAAATTTCAAATACTACAATTTCTCAAAAAGAGTAGAAAAAGTTGAATTAAACTTGTTGACTTTGACAAAAAGTTGAACTGATTTTCATAAAAATCAAGATATATTCACTCTGCTTAATACAACAGATTAGAGAAGTTAAAATTAAACATGTCGTTAACTGGTAATTTAATTACATTAATATCTACTAGTATAATTACATTAATACTACTGTCCATCTCTACAAAGATTTATTGAAAATCAAAACGTTCAGCCAAATCCAAAGAATATTTTTCTGCCTGATGATAATGTAAATAACCAAAATAACTTTTTTAAAATTAATTAATTATTAATTTAAAATAGGCTATATTTAGATATAAATGTGAATATTCTAATAAAATATATTTATTTTTGTCATTACTTCTATACCTTTNTGCACCAGATCGTTCTTTATCTTCAACATCAAAATCATTATTTTTGAAGCGTCTAAACCAATCTCTGCATGTTGTTTCCGACAGAGCATGGTCGCCGTAAGTCTCAACAAGAATTCTGTGTGCTTCTGCTGCAGATTTTTTTTGAATAAAATAGTGCAATAAAATTCCCCGCAAATACTCTTTTTTTGGCACTAAACTAGACATGTTTAACACAATGAAAAAATAAGTTGTTTACACTTTGGTGAAATGACATATACTGAATTTCAAGGTCACTTATTGTACTTCCTTACAGATGCGTCACCATCTAAAAATAAACACACGTGGTTCTGGTAACGCCATCTGTTGGAAAACAGCGAGAACTTATTCAAGGTCCTTATATAAATATTGTTAAAATTCAAATTTGATCATACTAAACTTATCATTGAAATAAATAAATAAATATATCCATAATATATTCTAAAAATATTTATATCTTATATCAAAATAATAACAATAAAGTCTATAAATTATCAGAAAGTAGAATGAAATGTGCTGACTGATTACAAAATAAATTTTAAAACTAAAACAAAAACTGATTATGGATTATATAATTGAATATATCCTTACCTTCTTGGCTTTTTACCTGTAGAAGCAGACTGTCCATCTCCTGGAAATTTTCTTTTTGCACTTCTTCCTTTTCCACTAATAAAACCAACTACAAATACAAAAGATAAATTTTAAACCATTTCTTCTGAAAAGTTTAGTGTAAATACAATAAAATGATGAATAAATCAGATCATCATTTAAAAATTATAATTCATTAAGATTTTGATTACTTTAAATTAAAAACTACTTTATATATATGAATATTTCATTTAAAAAATTATTATTTTGTGATTATATTTTTTGTTAATTTTATTTTCAATTTGCTTATAGTAAGAAGCATAACTATTATTTTTACAACAACAATACATTTATATAATAATTATAAGAACTATAATGTCAATTAATAATTTTTTACTCATGAAAAACAAATCAGTAGTCAGCAAGCCACTACTAATTTGAGGTGGAGAGCATATACTTTAAATTAACTAAATTAAAATTATTAAAAATTGCAGCCCAGCATTGTGACAATATCACAATAAATAATTGTTCATTATAAGTATAATTTATTTATACATACAAAATATCATCATTATTAATAATTGTTCATTGTTTCTTTGATAAATTTTTTGAATTCCAATGGAAAAATCATTTGTTAATTAACAAATTTTCAAATACCATATCATCATACATATAACCTACAGTTTTATTTTTGTTCCAGCAATTAATAAAAAAAAAATCTTTGCATAATCCTTGCCAATATGAGCAGCTAATGTTCCATATGCATGCATTCATAACTGCAATTTAAAATCAGTTTATAACCTATTCTATTGCATAACTACATCCCTTTCAAACTGTCTTTAAACATATGGCTCCAAGCATAAAAATGAAGTCAGAGCCAGCTTCATCATCTATTGGGAGAACACAAAATATTTTATAAATCATTCTGCTCAGTACCTCTATGTAGTATCTTCCAAGCTGAGCTCTAAGCAATCTTACAGGCTATCAATTGGTGGGAGAGGGCTATAAACAACAACAGAATCTCAATCAACACTGACTGTTCTGCAATATTGTCTACAATCAAGAAATGATCCCTGCACCCCCATCGCCTTGAACATACAGCAAATAATTACCGATTCTGACAATGATTTACTATGTGAAAAAGTTGTATTTATATTTATTGTATATTAAAAATGATTACTACATCAAATGGACCCATTCCCATAACAGAAACACAGGCAATGACAGAGCAGATTTTCTTGCAAAGGAGGCGGCCAGCAACCAGAATATTCCAATTAGCTATGATAAATCATCCTTGAAGGTATTCAAAACTCTACTTTGGAATGAACTAACCCAAACTTGGCAGCAAATCTGGAACAATAACATATCTTCAATCATGCAACAGTTTTTTCCCTGAGATAAAAACACTTCTCAATAATAACTGGATAAAGATAAACCATAATACTATGCAGTTTTATACAAATCACAGCTGCTTTAACTATTACTTAAATAGATTTTTCCCTGTATCACAACCTCTATCCAATCTGTGACAAATCTGACAGTAGCTTAAATTATATTTTTGACTGCATACAAACAGAATTTGAAAGGAACCAACTCTGGAAATTACTACTCAGCAAAAACCGCTGCTGGCCCTGTGACACAAGATTTGGTGCATGACAGGAGACTCACAATACGTTTCTCCAGCTTGTAGACACTTTAAAACCACAACTATAAAATATCCTTAAGCAATAGGCAACAACAGGCAAAGCCACCACGTTAACTTAATGTAACTCACGTGTACAGTTCTTATTATCCTAATTTAGTTCATCTATACTGTAAAACTCAAGCAGCAGCCTCAATATATTTATGCATTCTGTTTTCTAATACTGCGACTCACACAAAAGTTGTGCTTTCACTCTACTTTTATTTAGTGTGTCAGCTTCATATTTACTCGCTATTATTTGTATTTTAAATGTATTCTAAACCTGTTCATGCTCAGCGATAACAGGTGATGTAATTGCAATTATGTAAATAAATGCTAATAAATGAAAAAAATGTCTTTTAAACATAGATAACCTGCAGGTTACACAGACAAAAACATAAATTCTCCTTTTGAATGAACATTTTTTTATTTGATTTTCCTTTATTATAAGAAACTTTTAATTTTTTGTAAAAATATGATTATTATTAGTAAATATGAAATATAAATTGTTTGTATAAAAATATTAAAATTTTGAGATTAATACATATTCAAAATTTTAACATTTTTATTTACATGAAAGAGTATTATATACTAACAACATTGGAATAATAATATAAAATAATATTTCCAAATACCATTTCTTTTTCCATATTAAAATCATCATTTTGTTTAATTTTTTTTTATTCTAAGCTAAATTTTAATCCATTCTTGTTAAATAAAACTTTAAATAATTATGTTAAACATAACTGTGTATTCATCATTTAATTTTGTTTTTTAAATAAAAATATTACCATTTTGATTAAAAGCAAAATCTTGCATTGGTTGTTTAACCTGACCAGCCTTTATTAGAGATTCATAATTTGGTCCAATCTTTGATAAATCCTGAAATTAAAATTACACAAATATATGCAAAAAAAGAAAATTAAAATTTTTATATTTTATGCAAGTAAGTATTTTATAATATTTTCTATCTATTATATCTTTTTGAATTTTTATGCAAAAGAACTCAGATTAAAATCTCATGTTCTTTATCAGCTTGTAAAGTTTCTGTTTAAAGTTATAGTAATTCAATAAACTTTTGAAGACAGTTTATTTGCACTATGCCTATGTTTTCAAATTAGTGCAACATGAAATATAAATGGTTAGTAAACAACTGATGTTGATTATATAACCCAAAAATCTTCAAAATTTTTATTTTTAAGTTTAAGATCTTCAAGTTTTATTTAATTATTTAATCAATAATTTAAGGACTTTTTTGGGTCTATCTATTTGTGTACTATTTTAACTATTATACTAATGTAATACTATAACTGGTATAACTATTTTATCTATCTATTTGTGTATATTTTATCACTAACAACTAAATGTCAATTTGAAAATTTCTTCTCTTTTTTAAATTGAAATTAATTATTTACACTTTAATTAAAGTTTCTTTCATTACCTTTATAAACTTTCTTTTTATGTATCCATTTATTAATTACTATACTAATATCAACATGATATAATATTCTTAACATAAAATGAGTTAGAAGATATAAAATGCAAGTTCTAGTCTCTATAAAACAAAAGAAAAATATAATATATAGTATTATTTTGTAATCTTGTAGAGAATTAAACCGTTAAAAGTTTTGTGTCTAAGATATTATTTCTGTTTTGATACTGTTTTAACAGCACTTAAACACATAACAACTCCCGGCATTATTTTTCAATTAATTTACTTGATCTACTTAAATTTTTTAAAATTTTATATTAAAATTTAAATTTGCACCTTTAAATTTTTATCAAAATTATTACATAATGAATTCTCTTTCATATTGTAATTATTTTCTTCAAAAATGTAATGCATTTAGTTTTAAATATAAACATACAAAATATATACATATAACTGGTTTTTAATTCAACTTACATTAATAACAAGACCAAAATGAGGATAGTCATCAGAATAATCATCAAGATTCTTTTCTTCAACAAGAAATATTTCACTGTCTTTTAACTAAACAAGTAAACAAATAATGAAAATTTATTAAAATAATAGCATTTATAATTAATAAATGAAAGTTAAAAACAGACATAAAAATGAAATAAAATTACCAGAGAATACTTTGTATCTCTAAGAACTGAAATTCCAATGTAATGAATCTTACATTTAATAAACTAAATAAACTAAAAGGAGGAGATGACTAAAATTTCATTGTTTACAAACGTTTTATAAAAAAAACTACAGTTATATCAGATCTTAATAAATCAAATATATTAGTGTAGGTAGTTGCATTCTTAATATGAAAATAAAGCAGAATAATTCACAATATAGAACTAACAGGAATGGACACCCATCAGAGTTTTTATAAGACGTAAACCATGAATTATAATTCTTCAATATAATGTACACTATTAATTTTAAAGTGAAAAGCTAGAAATAATTACAAAAAGGAAAGAACTAGTCATTCAAATCTAGTTTGTTATCCAATCATTGAAACTGTAACAAGAAACACTTTATAACTGAAATGTGAATTTAATCTTCATTAATTAATTATATTATGTTTATAAGAAATTTGAGTTCTGTTGTGATAATATACTAAATAATTTTACAAATACACGCAATAAAAATACATTGGAAAAAACTAAATTTTTATTTAGTAACTTCAGTTTCAATTTCTAAAAAAACATTGTCAGATTTAAAAGCATTAAAATGAAATCATTTTTTTAATGTTTAGAGTAAAGCTTGTTCAATTTCATCAAATCACACTGAAAGTTGAAAATATTGTTATATATCTAACTGATTTATGATACAAAATATTTTATAAAAATAATTTGTTATTAAATTTCAAATTTTATTATTTTGCCTAAGCATAAAATTACACAAGAAAATAATGATGATCTAATTTAACTAATACATCAATAATTGATGTTTCTGCATAAGAATTCTAATGCTACTGTAAAATGCACTGTAGAGACAAATGAAATAGTTAAGAAATATCTGTGTAAATATTTTACAAACTAATATTTTTAAATTTTAATTATATTAATAGATAATCATGCCTATTACAAGCTTGTAAAATTATTGTGAAATGTTCTTTTTCAATATCAAAAATTATACTTTAAGATTTCCAATAACATTTACTAACTTTTTATCAGAAATGTTGATAAATAATTAAAAAACAATGATAGAAAGATATAATTAGTTTATTTAATAGATTAGATTCTTTAGAATAAATTTTGGATAATTTTTTTTTATTACTAGTAGTAAATTACATCTATATCAAACAATAATTCTATTATTTATTGGATTATATTTTTAAAAAATCATTATAAATTACAACGTGTATATTCAGATAGTTAATTAATCAAAATATAATTAGATAATTAACTCTACAGATAATTCTTTTAATATAAACAATATTTTTAATTGGAAATATTCATTTAATAATAATAAATTAGCGACAAAAAATAAGCCATAAATAAAAAAAAGGAATTTTCTATGCTTTTGCCTTTATAAAAATAAAATAAAAAAAATATATTCAATTATAAATAAAAATATTCATACTACTGGTATCATCATCATTAATACTTTTAAAGATTGCTATAAATTAAAGTTAGCTTTACAAACAGACCCAGTAAAAATATCCTATTTTATCTATGGATTTGAATTTAGAATGACAAATATACAGGTAGCCCTCGGTTTATGCGCAGTTCCATTCCTACAAAAGCCAGCGCAAATTGAATCGGCGTAAAATGAACCCATATTTACAGTATAGGGTTAGGTTCTACATAAGTGAAAAATAAGCAAATAATTTTGTTCATTAATTAATACAATATAATACAAAATACATTTTAAAAATTAAATTTATATATTTTATCATAAAATAAAATGAAATGGTTTTATTAAAAAATTTTAGTTTTGGATCTCGTACATTTTTCAGAAAAAAGGATCCATTTTTAATTGTTTACATTTTTGTATTCTTTCATTGAGAATTTTGAAATATGGTCAAATATGATGCTCCTTTTTACATTTGCACTTTGCTCCCAATCATTGTCTAACTCACAAAATTCATCTGTCAAACATTCCATAGTTGAAAGGATACATTAACTCAACATAGAGCTACAGACAAGCGGAGACAATGATTGGTTGACCATTGGTTGCCATAGCACATATATAAGATCAGTTTGAGCGAGAAGATTGAAGGTGGCTAAGGAGAGATAGATATCGTCTGACTGACAAGAAGTAGATATCGTCTAGCCACCGAGAAGTAAATTTGTCTCACTAATGATAGTTTGTGATCGCCAGAAGTTCTACTGCGTCGTAAGATGTTTTCCTGAACAAACTGATATGAGATACATTCATTGGCAGCTATGGATTCGGATGCCATTTATTGGACTATTAAGTTTAATAACTTGACTCATGAGTACCTAAACGTTTAGTATTTGAATATTAATTTAATGCAAATGTATACATACCCAATAATATTAAACATAAAAAATAAATATATTCAATAAAAATCTTTGTTTTAATGAATATACAATGTCGTGGCTCGGTAAATACATCAACACTGAAATGAAAATCAGTCTAGCATAGGGAAAATTGGGGAATTACACCGCAAAACAGCAAATTGCGCAGCGGCATTATTGTGAATTGGCGTAAATTGAGCCGGCGTAAACCGAGGGCTTCCTGTAGTCAGAAAAACTTTAATAATTTAAAACAACATTTAATTTTTTAAAATAAGATTTTTCAAATATTTTTATTAATTGAAATAGTAAATAATATGATTGACTGATAAATTAAAATATAAATACCATTGTTTTAAACACTGTCGTATGCCAAGTTTGTTTTATTCTTCGTGGCATGGTTGTAAGGTGTTCCCAATGTTTTTCAATAAAAGGTATGATATCCTATGTATATTAAAAAAATATTTTAGTATTTAATTCAATTTTTTTAAATAACATTTAATATAACTAATGAATATATTCTGATTTACTTTATCTTTTGAAAATGTTGTTTTAGGGCTATTTTGTTGTAAAAGATTTGCAATTGCAGTGGCACACATCTGACTAAAATCTGTAAAAGAACATTTTTTGATATATGTAAAAATATAAAAAATCATATCTTGTAATCCCAGCAATATGTCTTCATAGAGTAAAAACATTTTCTACTTTGGTACCACATGTCCTGGTTTCCAGGATTATCCCAAATTTTTTCCAGCTGCTTTCTAGCAACAGGAGAACATTATTCCAAAAACTGTTCTTACAGTGAAGTATCTTTTTCTTTTTTCACATTTTAAATGTATTTCTGTCACTAGCAGAGTAAAAATACTCATCTGTTTCATGTCCTAGAATTGAAATGTCCTAGCATCTTTCAGGAAAAACTCATTTTGTCCTGATTTTATCCCCAAGTACCTGGCAACCATACACCTCAGATAACAGATCTTCGTCAGTTAGAACATGAATAACTTTAAATGTAACAAATGCACAAAACATTCCAAGATAAATAGAATATACAGTTGACCCCCCTATAACATGGTAGATATGTTCCACTTTATAAGAATTTCGCGTTGTAGGAATTCTTAAATACATGAGCCAATCACAGCCCGGCACGTGTGCAGTTTACGGACTACGGCTGTTTGAAAGGTTTCCTTCCATAAAATTAATCAATTCTAGACTAATTTGACTCAACATTTCCAAAACACGTATAATTTTTTGGGAATAATCCGTATAAACTATGCTATAAACAAAAAATTGTAGGATTACTTACCGAGTGTGCACCGTTCGACGATGCCATTGCTTAAGCTTGTTTTCGTCGCGTAGCAGCGCACTAAACGGCAGGCATGTTTTCTGATAAGTTATTTTTCTGTGAAAAATTCGTTGAACTTTGGAGGCATTATTAATAGAAATAATTTTTATGGCCGTTGAATAAGAAATGTTTTTTTCACAAGAAATGTATAAAATTACAGTACTGTATTAGACTTACAGTACCTAATTTATATACTGTACAGACAATAGTAAACTCAACTTACCCGCCTAAACTCGTCGTAGCGTGTAAGTAGTTCGGCTGCTCGTCCACTATTGGTCCAAATTTGACCAATCCTGTCACAACACAAGTCGGCAATGACCTTTTACCACATTTTACAAGTCTCTTTTAGTGTCTTTATACAAATATGGTCACAATTTTTTCACCGCGATATACAAATCCGCATTATATGAACCCACATTATAGGGGGGTCTACTGTATATAAATTTTAAACTCAATGGAAATATCCAGTGAAATAATAAAAATAAAATATACAAACATAAAAAACAAACATGAATTAAAATAATATTTAAGAGGTATCCTTCAAAACAATTAGAGCAAGTTAGATTTTATAAATGAATCTGTTAGTAGATGATAAAGTGTTTGCATAGAATGTTGTTTTCTATTGGCTTTATTGATTTCTAATGTTTCCAAGTACCTGAGGGCATTATGACACCTGGCAGGTCTAATTACCTTAGCATCTTCTCATTTGATCTATAAACATTATTAGCTGGCATAGGCCACAAGAATTGTTTTGTCCAATTTTTTGTCAACCATATATGGGTAACACAATTCTAGTGGCATATGACAACCAAAAAGATGTTCAGAGACATTAGAAATCCAAAAAGCCAATAGAAAATAGTATTGTATCAACTACAGAGATGAAGACACCTTATTGTCCACTTGGAGATCTTTATGAAATCTAACTTGCTCTAATTGTTTTATAATGTATCTCTTAAATGTTATTTTACTTTGTTTTTGTTTATTACTTTTTCATCAGATATTTCCATTGTGTTTAAAATTTGTATTTATCTATTTATTTTGGAATGTTCTATGCATTTGTTACATTTAAAATTATTTGTGTTATAACTGAGAAAGACCTATTAACCAAGATCAAAAACATTTTTACTCTTAAAACATATTGCTGGAATTATTAGGTATTTTTTTCATTTATTTTTGGAATCTTCAGTTTTTATATATTTATTAAATTTTGGCCTTTTTGTGCTCTCAGAGCAGTAAAGGGCCTAAAACACAAAAAAAAATTAAAT